GATAACTGTGGGTCCCAGCAAGTCAGGAAGAGGACGGGTTCGTTCCTGATGAAGAGCTAGTTCTGAATAGTGATTCAACTGTCCACAGTTCCAACCTGTTCATGAGGCTTGCTGCTGGTACTAACCTCGGGTGGATCCTCGGGTTACTCTCTGGCAACCTCCGCTCTAGACTCTTAGAACAGAGGAAAGTTCTGGCACTCGGACACACTGGCCGTTCCGTGGTTGTCCGGGCTGAGTCTCAGGATGGTCAGGAGGCGTGCTGTGAGAATGTCCTGCCCTTGGGAGCCTTTCTGCTCCTGGGCCGTCCTGCCCTGGAATTGTCCTTTGAGATTCTCCTTTTCAGAAAAGTCCACTACAGGCTCTCTGTGTTGCCTATTTTTACCTGGAGGAACTTCAGCTCGTTCATTGGCTGAAAGTTTCCTGGGCATCAGAGCCCCACGTGGGTTACTTGGCCCTACCAGTCCCTGATTGGTTGATCAAGGTGAGATATGAGTCACTTACATTTGACACTTAGGAATCCAGTCCAGATGTCCATCTGGCACTCCCTAGACAGATAGGCACCAATGGATGACCATTGATCATGATAGCCAGGCTTAGCTAAGTGCATCCCCATTTGGGAGCTGTCCTTTATCAAAAGAAAACATCTTTAAATCAGCCTGCATGAATAGCTTCTCTGTGGCTGCACCACAGAGATGAAGAGAGAGATGGGGCTTCATTTGGGAAAGCACAGCAACACTTAATTCTTTCTTATTAACAAGCATTGCCGCTACAATGCAAAAAAGGTTAAAACGATCAATTTTTCACAAAGTATATAAACGTACATTAATATGGTCAGGAGGAACACGTAAAAATGTTTCAAAATAACCACATGTACTGTAAGACTTTGATGCTTAAAATGTTTAGGGAGAAATGGAATACTGGTGTGTATTTTTTCGTTAAAATACAAAGACCAGCCATATACAGTACAGTTTACATACAGTAATATGTTTATGTTCCTAAATTAATATAGTCTATGACCTTTATATGCATTATGCTCCTATTCTCCTATGCTCGGCTACTAAAATTTCCCTTTAGTGGTAAAATTCCATATAAATATTCAATACTAAGTGGATTAAAATGTGCACAGTAAAGAGATTAAATGATTAAATGTTTTTACTACTGACCAATGCACCACTAGTGCCCCTGTCAGTCATTCTGGCCAGCCAATCACGTAGTGCGGTACGGTGCGGTGGCGCACGCGTAGATGCCCGCGGTACGGGTTTGTACCGTGCATTTTGAATGGCTGTATCTGTACTAAATACAGTAGGAGCAGAGGGGTAAAGAATTAAACCAGTTTCACTAGGAATGACAACGCCCAAGATCGAAGTGTAATGAACTATTATGAAGCTGATATTTGGCTTAACCCACTTGGCTGAGGGCCAACCTCCTGGCCATAGGATGAGGAGGCCAGAACCCCTAAAGGACCAAGCAGGACCCCAAGCGACCAATTCAGAATTTGGAGGAACCTGAAGAAGGTGTGGTTTGTGACGCATGGATTGTTGCGGCAGTAGGGCGGTTGGAGTGCCTGTCTGCGTTTTGTATAGGTTTACTGTAGGGAAGTCAGCTTCTGTTGGCATAGGTGAGCTGTTTATTATAGGTTCGTGTTGAGGTGTTGATGGAAGGGAATTCAAACGAACACGGGGTCTAAATGATGAGAAGCCATTTAGGCTCTTTGTATGTGGGAAAGTAAACTGCTGCTATTATTCGATTGGGTTAGTGGTGCCAGTGTTATCTGGATGGATATGGGCCCATGTTTGCGACTGAGTCCCCCAAAAACAGCAATGGAAATTGGAGACTCCTGCACTTGATTCGCATGGTGATATGGAGGAGAGATGGAGGTAGACAGTAGTGACTTGGCCTTTCATAGCTTTTATAACTTTGATTAGGGTTTCCTGGATGGATGGAGTGGCCGGCTCGAAGGAAATGTGGAGGCTTGTAGACCTTATGGCAGGTAACACCTTTGCTATCTGACAATAAATTAAGTGTGAGGAACTAACTGCTGGGACTCTTATGGACTCTGGAACTGGATAGTGAGCATTCATGGTCTAATGACAGATCCATGTGGTCACTGTGGAGAGGAAAACAAAAACTCCCATTGGGAGAAAATAAACCTCTGGGGGTCCCAGCCCAATGGATGCCCCCCCTCCGGGCAGCTAGGCATTTTTTGGATAGTTCCAGACTCTGGGTGTAGTACTGTAGCTCATGGAATTTACATGTGTGGATATTATATGAAGTGAGAGCAGTATTGGATCCAAGGAGTGGGTGTACAAGGGCCTGCGAGGCGTGCGAGGGCCTGTGGGGACGGCGGGGACGGCAGAGATGGCGGAGACGGCAGAGACGCGGCACGGGGGTACTAGAGTTTAGAGGGGAGGCTGGGTATAGAGTGCAGGCCCAGTTGGCATTCTCCCAGTGTTCGCCCTAGAGAAGGGAATGGTGGTGGCTGTCGAGAATGACGAGCAGGGCTCCCTGGAGAAGCTGTGTAAGATGGAGGCCAAGGGCGGCAGCAAGGCAGGAGACAATGAGTTGGAGAGCCTCTCCCTGGATTTGAATGCTGCTGACGACAGACCCGAAGAGGATGGCTATCCCAGGGTGGGCTTGGATTTGGGCACTGTTGACGGCAAGTTTGCTGGATCAGACTGCCGTTGCTGTGCGGATGACATCAGCAGAGGGCACCGTAAAAATTGGAAGCGTATCTTTAAAATGGACTGTGGCAAGCCTTCGGATCACAGCATGAGGTCTGTAATCGTGGGAGACGATCCAGGGAAAGGAGGAGCAGATATGCGCGACTGCGGTGGGGACGTTTACGTGTGAGGCAGGGACTACTTGGAGAATTCACTGCCGAGGAAGGAGAGCTGGATTGGAGGTGAGGTGGGGATGATAATTGGGGATGATAAAAGAATTTGAACTTCAGCAAGGAGTTGAATCTTGAGAGAGCTGGCCAGAGATGAGCGCTGCTGGTAGGAAGGCAAGGGATGGAGGTGACAGGGTGCTGGAATGAAAAGCAGGAGGGACGGTCAAGGAGTGTAGGGGAATCCTCTGTGCTGCAAAAGGTTCTTTGCCAAAGCATAAAATTTAGAGGTCCAAAAGCGAAATACAAGAGAAAATAGCACAGGCTTGTGCAAAGCGAAAGACTCACTCGAACATGGAAAAGTCGCATGCAAGGGAGAGAGGTATCGCGTTGGTATTTTAGCGTTTGGTGGAGGAAGGGTGAAGGGAGTGATTGCTGATTACTGACAGCTGGGAACGATTGAGCGTGGTTGTTGTCATCCCTCCCGAACTTTTGTCATATAAACTCCATTAAGTAAAATCTCTTCTAAAGAAGATGGTTTTGAGCCTGGATTTGAAGGAGTATAAAGGTGAGTCTCTGATATCCTTGGGGAGAGAGTTCCAGAGCATAGGGGCATAACAGGAGAATGCCCTGTCACCCATAGAGTGAAGGGCTTGGAGGACAGTTAGGAGACTGCACTTAGAGGATCAAGGGTTGCGAGATGGGGAGTAGGGCGATAATAGATCATACAGATACTGAGGTGTGAAGCCATGCAGAGCCTTATAGATGAGCATGAGGATTTTGAAGTCAACACGGAACTTGAAAGGAAACCATTGCAAGGACTCCAGGATAAGAGTAATGTGATCACTTGCACTAGACCTGGTCAGGATTCTGTGTGCCGAGTATTGGACATACTGGAGTTTGTTAAATGTGGATTTAGATATCCCAGTGAGTAGTGCATTATAGTAGTCAATTCGGGAGCAGACAAATGTGTTGGTCAGCTTTTCAGCAACAGTTAGTGATAACAAAGGGCGTAGTCTAGCAATGTTTCTGAGGTCAAAGAAAGATATTTTAACAATATGCTGCACATGTGGGTCGAATGGTAAGCCTGAATCAAATATCACCACAATGTTTTTCAATTTAGACTGAAGCTCAAGTACACTACCATCCACAGACAGGGTTACAGGACTGGCTTTACAAAGTTGATAGAGGGTGCTAATAAGCATGACTTCAGTCTTGTCACAGTTAAGATGAAGGAAACTTTGAGTCATCCATATTTTTATGTCAGAGATGCAATCAGAATAGAGACAGCCACATCAGTGTCAGGTTTGGTATGGATGTATATTTGAGTATCATCAGCATAGAAATGATAGTTGTGGCCATGTGATCTTAAAACCTGACCAAGTGGAAACATGTTA